TTATGTTGTTTTCCTCTACTATAAATCCCTAAAATATAAAATTTTAAGACCTGAAAAAGAACCGAAAATACTATAATTATATAATTATATAAATATACTTATATTAACAACCTGAAATTATAGTTGCATTCTCCATCTACAGTCTGAATATTTTTATATCACTGCATAACGATTCAAAAGTCATAAAAAAGTCTATGTATAAATATGTGTAGCAAATGTACAAGTTAATAACAGTATAATATCTCTATCATGGGCATCTTATTTTTAAACACACGGTCTCTCTCTAAAAGACAAAGCTCTTCAACACACTGCATTTGTCAGATGTCATCAGTAGGGATTAGACATCAGCGGAGACAGCAGCAGTGTTTGACGTCTCTTATATTTCCCTCATGGGGTCAAAATCAATCAATATCAATGATTTACAGTTGTTTGTGGAGGAGTTTTTCATGTACAGTGTGACAGCATGACACTCACGAGACTGAAAACACATCCTCCATCCGCTCCCTGTAGGGGAAACCCTGCAGCGCCCTCAGTAGTCCACTTGGCAGTCCACATGCAGAAGAATTGTAATGGTGGTTTTCTTATGAGCTTCGCTTCCCTCTTTCCTCCCATTCTACTCAAGCCTGGAGAACGTTTAACAGGAAGGAAATAAAGTTTCATTTATACACTGATAAAAGTGTGTTTGTGTGTGTGTGTGTCAGTACGTCATTCACACACTCACATTCACTGTAAAAAATGCAGGGTTCCACACAATTCATTTATGCTGTCCCAACACAAATCTAATATAATTATCAAAAAAAATTACATAAAAAATAAAATTGTCCCAATGAAATGTCAAAAATTGTGTTGTTTCAGCTTAATTTAAATGAGTTTTTGAACAAGCAACAAAAAAAAATTTTGTTTTTTTTGACTGTTAATGAACATGCAGTGGCGGCATGGTGGCTCTGTGGTTAGCGCTGCCACCTGTCAGCAAGAAGGTCACTGCTTCGAGTTCTAGCTGGGCCAGTAGACATTTCTGTGTGGAGTTTGCATATTCTTCAAGTGTTGTTGTGGGTGCTTCATTTTCCCCAACAGTCCAAAGGCATGCGCTCAGTGAATTGGATAAAATTGGCCATAGTGTATGAGTGTGTGTGTGTGTGTGAATGTGAGAGTGTATGGGTGTTTCCCAGTACTGGGTTGCAGCTGGAAGGGCATCCGCTGCCTAGAACAGATGCCAGAATAGTTGACGGTTCATTTCACTGTGGCAACCCTTGATAAATATGGGACTAAGCAGAAAGAAAATGAATGAACATGCTATAATAAAGGTTCTTCACAAGACCGAAACACTTGTCCTATTAATATTGCAAATGACTGATATCTGTTGTGTGCAAATAATCTGGAAACATCGTGATGGCTGAGGTTGGAATGAGACTCTAAAATGTGTTGTATTTATTGTATTTAAATTTAATTTAAGTACTAATTATCAACACTACTTATTTAAAATGAGCTGAAACAACACAATTCTTGAGATTTTTTGGGTCAACATAATTGTTTTATGTTCAATCTACTTAAATTTCTAAACTTAATCGATTTGCCACAGCCATATCAACCTGCAGCCTAAGACCGGTTACTCAATGAAGCTAAGCAGGGCTGAGCATGGTCAGTACCTGGATAGGAGACAACGAAAACTAGGTTGCTTTTTGAAGTGGTGTTAGTGAGGCCAGCAGGGGGCGCTCAATCTGGTCTGTGTGAGTCCTAATGCCCCAGTATAGTGAAGTAGACTCTATACTTTCATTGAGTGCCACCTTTCAGATGAGACGTTAAACATTAATTGGTCATTAAAAATCCCATGGCACTTTTCGTAAAGAGTAGGGGTGTTTCCCTGGTCAAATTGGCTCTATCACTGTCTCTCCACTCCCCTTATAGCTGGCACACTGGCGCTGTTGTTCTGTGGCTGCCGTCGCATCATCCAAGTGGATGCTGCACACTGGTGGTGGTGTGGAGAGACCCCCCTTATGATTGTGGAGCGCTTTGGGTGCATGGCCATACACAATAAATGCGCTATATAGATACACAATAATTACTAACTTACTTATTTGGGACTAGGGTGCGAATTACAGGGAGGGTTGGGGGGTTCTGACCCCCCGAATTAACGCTTGGTCCCCTCTGAAGGACATCAAAACAAGATGTATGGGGTTCTGCACTTTAATAGTAAAGAAATAGTTTGCTCTGATGTGTATATTAAATAAAAAATAATAATTAAAGTAACAGATAACAGAAATATACATTTGACCACCCCTATAATGGTTCATACCATTGTGTATACATGTTTGTGCCAAAATGATTAATTCATCAGTTTGAAACCAGCAAATCTAGAGCACCGACAAGGAGTGTAAGTGTTCATAAAACATGTTTCTTTAAAAAGGTATTTGTAGGTGTCTGTTAAACTACATGCATAGTTTGTATTTTATTATACAAATATAATATTATACTGGCTCGCACATAAAAGTTGAACAGTAAAATAAAAACTATGTGCAGTCTTTCATGGTCATTTATTAATAGGTGCAGGAAAGCAAACCTGTCATAATTTTTTTAATATCACAAATGTTATTGAGAACAACCACTCAATATCCCTCAAAACACTGAAAACATAATAACAAGTTTGTAATAATTAAAAAAGTTGATTTGTATCATTTGTGCCTATTGGGTCTTATTATTTTGCAAATAATAATAGTAATATATATAGCATATATAAACAAATGTTAAAGTTTTGTTTATGATATTGATCTATTTTTATTAAACAAAATCATCCCTGGTTAGCAAAATAGACTTCTTTTAAAATGTTTAAAATGTTCAATATTTATACTTAGCATAAACATTTTGGCCTCTATTTTGACTATCCATGCGCAAAGCGCAGGGCGCAAACTCTTTAAGGGTGTGTCAGAATCCACTTTTGCTATTTTAAGGACGGAAAAATCTGCTTTGCGCCGTGGCGCATGGTCTAACAGGGTTGAGCTTATTCTCTTGATGAGTTATAGGTGTGTTTTGAGAATAAACCAATCAGAATCTTATCTCCCATTACCTTTAAGAGTCAGTTGCGCTGCGCCATCGCGCATTTGCTATTTAAAGTTAAACAGAGCATCTAAAGCGCGAGAATGAGAGATGAGCCTCCTCATTCTTTACTTTCACATTCACTCTCATGGATAAGGAAATGTGTTAAACGCACAGACATCCATTAGACTACATAATTAATTTTGTTTGTTAAGCGTAAAGATTGGTTTCAAAACTATTTCTAAATTCAGTTCTAATTTCCAGCAAACGAATAAATGAACAATAATAACGAAGTGTGGTCAAAAAACTGAGTTATATCCAAATACACATGCTGTGCCCCATATGGTGACACGTGGGCAAATCTAAGCTTGTTTATAATAAAACAAATATAAATGTACATATAATAAGTAATAATGCTAATAATAATAACATTATACAAAAGCAAATTGTTATGAATAAACTGAAAAATCCCCCCCTGAGATGAAGAAGGCATAAAAGTATGGTTTTTATATTTATGTAGGCTAGAAAATATAAATTTTTGTAATATTTTATTTCTTTAATTCGCACAACTAACGCGCTCTGTGCTGGACTATAGACCTGATTTGATCTGGTCTATTAAACAATCTATTATAGTTCCTCAAAATAGCAACGCGCCAGCAATGCGCCTCAACACGCCTCCTTTTTTAGACCAGAACGCCTATAGGCGCACATATGAGCGCAAATGCATTTACTATTTAAACATGCTACAAAACATCAAAACGACTCTTGCGCTGAGCTGAAACTACCAAACAACAACTGCATCGCGCCTTGTACCGCATTGCACCAGGTGTATGTTAGAGCCCTTTATGTATGAATTAGATTTTTATCAGCCATTACTTCAGTGTCACACAATCCTTTAGAAGTCCTTCTAATCTGCTGATTATTAACATTAAAAATCATAAGTAATGTTTACAAAAAATCTGTTTTATATGTTTCTACATTATTTGAGGATTCCTTAATGAGGAGAAAGTTTAGAAATGTTCATAACAAATTCTATTGATAAATAAAAGTAAAAGATATTAAAAGTAAAATTGTTCATAAATATGAAAAGAAATGTTTATGCAAACTTATCTCTGTTTTGTGATTAGCGAATGAGTCCAACTGACTTTACAATGAAATGTATGTATGCATATTCTACAAAGTTACAGCCATCCAGTTCACATTTGTCGTCATCGATCCCACTTTATATTAAGTGTCTTTAACCACTATGTACTTCCATCAAAAAATAAATACAATGTACTTACTGTGTTTATAATGTATTTGAGAAAACTTTTGGTGCTTTTGAGTTGGGATAGAGGTTGGGTTATGAACAGGTTTGGTGGTATGGGTAGGTTTAAGGGTGGGTTAAGGTGTAAGGGATGGTCAACAGTGTATTTACAGATGTAATTACATACGGGTATTTAATCAAGCATAAGTACACAGTAAATACATGTATTTACACAATAAGTACATTGTAACAAACTATTAATTCTTGTGTAAGTACATATTAGTTAAGGCCACTTAATATAAAGTGGGTTGTCTATTTATCAAAAACATTATCTAGAAAGTAAATATTTGAATATGATTTCAGCTGGACATCCGCAGAACTTCAAAACCGAAATATTCCCCACAAATCACAAAAAAGGTACTTGTCTCATCTTCAGAATCATCTTCCAATAGGGAATACTGCATTCTGTGTATATGAAATGTTTTTAAAAATTCTGTGTGAATCATGAATGCTCAGCAAATAGACAGTATGCATGACCAAAACAATATGGTCACACTTTACAATAAGGTTCATTAGTTAATGTTAATTAATACATTTACTAACATGAACAAACAATGAACAATACATTTACTACTGTATTTGTTCATGTTAGTTAACGTTAGTTAATGAAAATACAGTTGTTCATTGTTAGTTCATGTTAACTCATGGTGCATTAACTAATGTTAACAAGCATGGACTTGGATGTTAATAATGCATTAGTAAATGTTCAATTATGATTAATAAATGCTGTACAAGTGTTGTTCATGATTAGTTTATGTTAGTAAATGCATTAACTAATGAACCTTATTGTAAAGTGTTACCAACAATATTAATATTCTTTAAACATGAATAAATGAAACGCTTTTAAATATAATTACATACTGTTGAGGACACAATTATTAGCCCTTTGTGAAATTTTTAATTCTTTTTCATATATTTCTCAAATAATGTAAACCCGATCAAGGAAGTTTTCACAGTATTTCCTAATAATATTTATTTTCTGGAGAAAGTACAGTGTTATTTGTTTTAGTTTAATTGGAATACAAGCAGCTTTTACATTTTTTTTTAACCCCTGATTAGCTACAATGTTTAAAAACGCTACAGAAAAATCTTCTCTCCATTAAACAGCACTTGGGAAATGTTTTCGAAAGAGTTCGAATTTATCAGGAAGGCAAATCATTTTGACTTGGACTGTACATCTGTTGCATAGCACAAAATGTAACTTGAAAACGAGCTTCAAAAATGCCTTTCACATGAAAATCGTGTGCTGTTTGTGGAAATTAAAAGCATTGACAAACATCTGCAGTTCACTGTTGAGCATTTATGCAAAGGAAAGCCAAGGTTCTCTCTTACTAGTGCATATCTTAGGATGATCTCTGATTCTTTCTTACAAAGAAAATAAAAGCATGATGCATGTGTTCATCTTTCCCCGTGTAATATTTCTCTATACAGTTGAAGACAAAATGATTAGCCCTCTTCTTTGTTTCTTTTTTAAAATATTTCCCAAATGATGTTTAACAGAGCAAAGAAATGTTCACAGTATGTCTGATAATATTTTTTCTTCTGGGGAAAGTCTTATTTGTTTTACTTCGACTAGAAGAAGAGCAGTTTTTAATTTATTAAAGACTATTTTAAGATCAAAATTATTAGCCCCTTTAATTTGTTTTCAGTTGTCTACAGAAAAAAAACATTGTTATACAATAACTTGCCTAATTAACCTATTTAAGCCTTTAAATGTGACTTTAAACTGAACACTAGTGTCTTAAACAATATTTAGTCAAATATTATTTACTGTCATCATGACAAAGATAAAATAAATCAGTTATTAAAAATGAGTTATTAAAATTATTATATTTATATTATAATCTTTCCATTTAACAGAAAATGCACAGGGCTAATAATTCAGCAGGGCTAATAATTCTGACTTCAACTGTATGTTTGTGAGTGTGGATGTGTCTGTGTTTTATTAATCCTTTGCTGTGTGTGTAGAGCCCACTCGACAGACCACGACCAAGAGAAGAAAGAGGAAGAACTCAGCCAGCAGTGCGTCTAACAGTAGCCTTGGCAACAGCGCCGGCGGCAAGAAACGCAGCCCTGCCAACAACTTCAGTCTGGCCAGCCAGGTACCTGTAAGCATCAGATCTAATTCTTTACACACACACATATGTTGCAACACTTTACATAGTAAACATATACATATACAAAAGTAGATTTCACTTGTGGCGAGTTGGTGCTTGGACTCGGTGGTTAGCTCTGTCGCCTCACAGCAAGAAGGTCGCTGGTTTGAGTGCCGTGCCATTTCTTTGTGGAGTTTGAATGTTCTCCCCGTGTTGGCGTGGGTTTCCCCCGGGTGCTCCAGTTTTTCCCAAAGTCCAAACACATGCGATATAGGTGCCTTGGATAAACAAAATTTCTCATAGTGTATATCTGTGAATGTGTGGGTCGCAGCTGCAAGGGCATCCGCTGTGTAAAGCATATGCTGAATATATTGGAGGTTCATTCTGCTGTGGCAACTCCTGATGAATAAAGGGACTAAGTCAAATTCGAATGAATGAATGAATGAATGAATGAATATGCGATGTAATGTCATTCCTTAAATAGTATTGTGAAATAATATTGCATTTCTATCCATTTAAAATTAAACTATTCCATATGATGTCATTTAAAATGTTATAATAAATGATATAATATTAGTAGTTTATTAGTATTAGTGTAATGCTAGTATTAGTATTATCTAAAAATTTATAGTATTCTGTATTTAATTCCAAATTAAGCTATTCCTTATGGTATTCATGTATGTGGATGTGTGTTTATGCACCAGTCAATAAAACTACTTCACACAATATATAAAGGATGTATATTGATATACAGTTGAAGTCAGAATTATTAGCTCCCCTGTTTATTTTTTTCCCCAATTTCTGTTTATCGGAGAGCAGATTTTTTCAACACATTTTTAAACATAATAGTTTTAATAACTCATCTCTAATAACTGATTTATTTTATCTTTGCCATGATGATAGTACATAATATTTAACAAGATGTTTTTCAGGACAATTCTATACAGCTTAAAGTGACATTTAAAGGCTTAACTGTGTTAATTAGGTTAACTAGGCAGGTTCAGGTAATTAGGCAAGTTATTGTATAATGATGGTTTGTTCTGTCGACAGTCGAAAAAACATGATTATTGGTGCTAATAATTTTGACCTTAAAATGGTGTGTAAAAAATTAAAATCTGCTATCTTTCTAGCTGAAATAAAACAAATAAGACTTTCTCCAGAAGAAAAAATATTATCAGAAATGCCTTGAAAATCTCCTTGCTCTGTTTGACATAATTTGGGAAATATTTTTTAGGCAAGGCAAGGCAAGGCAAGTTTATTTATATAGCACATTTCATACACAATGGCAATTCAAAGTGCTTTACATAAACAAGAATAAAAGAAACAAGTAAAATAAAAATAAAAACAAATAATAAAAATTCGTAAAAACAAAACAAAACATAAAAACAGGTAAAATGTGATATAAAAGAATGAAGAAGAAGAGAAAAACATGATAGTGCAATCTGTCGGACGCAGCACAGTGCTCATTCAGTAAAGGCACAGCTAAACAGATGTGTTTTCAGTCTTGAAAAAAAAACTCAAAGGGGGGCTAATAATTCTGACTTCAACTGTATATGTGAAAGATAAAACCCATGTGCTCCAAAATTATGAATCAGCTCCAAAAATGATCATACAAGAAAATCCATTTGACATGTGTGTCAATAATATGAGAAAGGTCATTTTAGGGCAAATTTATGGCTTGTAATATATAGTAACGATTGTAATGTTTCTCTAATGTGTTTCTTATGCCTTACACTCACTGGCCACTTTATTAGGTACACCTTAGTAATGCAGGGTTGGAGCCCCTTTTGCCTTCAGAACTACCTTAATTCTTCATGGCATAGATTCAACAAGGTACTGGTAAAATTCCTCAAAGATTTTGCTCTATATTGACATGATAGCATCCCGCAGTTGCTGCACATCCATAATACAAATTTCCTGTTCCACCACATCCCTAATGTGCTCTATTGGATTGAGTTCTGAGGACTGTGGAGGCCATTTGAGTACAGTGAACTCTTTGTCATATTCAAGAATCCAGCCTGAGATGATTCACACTTTATTACATGGCGTGTTTTCTTTCTGGAAGTAGCCATCAGATGATGGTCATAAAGAGATGTACATGGTCAGCAACAATACTCAGGTAGGCTGTGGTGTTGACACAATGCTCAATTGGTACTAATTGGCCCAAAGTGTGCAAAGAAAATATCTCCCACACCATCACACCACCACCACCAACCTGAACTGTTGATACAAGGCACGATGGATTCATGCCTTCCTGTTGTTGGTGCCAAATTCTGACCCTACAATTCAAATGTTGCTGCAGAAATCGAGATCAGACCAGGCAACGTTTTTCCAATCTTCTATTCCCACACGGAAAGAACCTATAAACTGGTGGACAGGTGTACCTAATAAAGTGGCCGGTTAGTGTATTTCTGAAGCTAAACAAACCACAGTCCTTTCTTATTATAATTGTGTTGATACAAAGCTGTTAAATACATTTTAAAGTAGGAAAATGCATGTTTGGAGCTGATGATTTTGTGTAAACTACAAAACTGAATTGACTTTACTGACACGATATCTGTCAGTAGGTTGTTTTACAGTAACGTGGTGTGAGGTCTTCATGGTTTGAGCTTTGGGCCGTGACACAAAATAAAGCATATTCAGTTCCAATGCTAAAGTAAATACTCTCTTAGCAGCTTCACAGAGAGACTCCTCAGCCCTCATTTTCAATTCCTGTATTAGCCACTTACAGTGTTTAACCCCAATTCCCAGGCTTTTTTCCCCCAGAGTGCCTCTTTATCCCCAAGGCTTCCTCTTCAGGCGCTCGATGTGTTCGCTCAGGTTCACGCCGCAGGGTCAAACGCTGGTTTTTGGGGAGTTGTATTGTGAGGTGGTAAATTTGTTTGCAGATGGATGATGGGATTTGTAGTGCGTGGCTTTTTCCCCTGGAGTTCAGGGACAATTGGATACATGAACGGCGGAGAGGAGATTAGAGAGGAGAGACACTGCTGCGCTGAGGCTCAGTCTGGCAGACACACAGACATGCTTGTTTACATGCTTCGACAGCACAGCAGAGAAAAAAAAATATGTGTGTTTGATTTTTAGTGTGTCAAGTCAACTTTTTTGTCATTCAGTGATCAAAGTGATTGTTCTTTTTTTTCGCTATCAATTTAATTCATTAATCACATGACACATGAATCCAGTTTTGTCTAAACTAGTAAATTTATTACAACAAAACAATCAAGCAAATCATGTCAAAACTAAGCAAGAATGAATAAAGAATCAAAATGCACGTTCTCCAACAAATATATAACACTAACCTTAGACTAACAACCCAACAAATAACAAAGCATAATAAACTAAGACTTAAAGAAAAAAGGCAGAAAATTAAAGTAAATTAAATAAAGCTTGATGGCTGGCAGTGAAGTCTCCTCTCTCTGCTCAACGTCAGTCCATATTTATAGCCAATTTACAAATAATGCAACACACGCACAAACAGGCAAAAGCCGCAACAATTATATTATATTATATTATATTATATTATATTATATTATATTATATTATATTATATTATATTATATTATATTATATTATATTATATTATATTATATTACATTATATTATATTATATTATATTATATTTTTTATATTATATTTTTTTTATATTATATTTTTAATATTATATTTATTATATTATATTATTTTATATTATATTATATTTTTATATTATATTATATTATATTTATTATATTTATTATATTATATTATATTTTTTATATTATATTTTTTATATTATATTATATTATATTATATTATATTTATTATATTATATTATATTATATTATATTTATTATATTATATTATATTATATTATATTATATTATAATTTTTATATTATATTTATTATATTATATTATATTTATTATATTATATTATATTATATTATTATATTATATTACTGTATATTATATAATTTTTTTAAATATATTTATTATACTATATTATATTATATTATATTATATTATATTATATTATATTATATTATATTATATTATATTATATTTTATTATATTATATTATGTTTTCGGCTTTTTTGTGAGTTTCAACAGTGTGTAAAAATATGGATGGTTCTGTGGGTCTCATCTGTCAGATCTGATCTTTAATTTGTATTTTCCATTGTGTTCGAGTCAGGTGATTGGCTGGGCCATTCTACGGCTTGATTTTCTTTCTCTAAAAGTATTTGAGAGTTTCCTTGGCTGTGTTTTTATCATCGTCTTGCTGAAATGTTCACCCTGGTTTCATCTTCATCGTCCTGCTAATGTAGATGTTGGACTGAAGCAGCTGATACTCATTTACACTGAGGAAGCATTGAGGGTTTCTGAAGAACTACTGAGAGATTTCAGCTGCTGTCTGGGCTTTCACTGCCTTTCTACACCTCCCTTTCTTCATGTGTTCAATACTTTTTTCCTTTGTCATTTCGTTTTATTGCATGTAACTTCATTTGTAAACGGATTAGTTTTCTTTTCATATATGGATTTGTTTAGTTATCGACATCTGGTGAAAATTGAAAAGCCAACAGCACCTTTAGAAATATGTTTTCTGAGAAAAATGGTGAAATGTTCAATATTTATTTACTCAACTGTATATATTTATTAGTTTTGTTTTTTAATGTATGGCTTGTTGGGACAATATTTGTCTGAAATACTACTTTTTAAACATGAAATCTGGGGGTTAAAAAAATCCAAATATTAAGGAAATTGCCTTAATAATTGTCCAATATTTTTTTTTAATTTACAGTAGGACGTTTGTTAAATATTTTCATGATACATGATCTTTACTTAATATTTTAATGATTTCTGGATTACAAAAAAAACAAAATCTTTTTTGGCCATTACAATGTATTTTGGCTATTGTTAAGATTATAATTTAGTTGTAACATTAGTAGGCCTAGATATTTAATAGATTATTATTTTTGGGATTTTTGTCTGTTGGTCTAATTGGATATGCAGTTTTTTGTCCTGGTGTAGTCAGCGACCATCACTTTGAGGACACCCAACACTTTCACACAAGCAGAGAGAAAATTGTTGGTGTGAGGAGTTGGCTCTGTGCCAGTGCTCATTATCATATAGATCCTATGAATGTGTGTGTGTCTGTCTGTGTGTGTGTGTGTGTGTGTCGCAACACTCTTGATTTTCATCCCCATCTGAGGCAGCGGGTCTGGTTGTGTCTGTGCGTCATGGAGAGGAACGCTCTGGATACATGTGTAGCGCGGACACTTGGCTTTGTCTGTTCAGTCATCGCATGCTGCCTGATCGGCCTCCTACGTGAACACAATCACAATGAGCTCATCACGTGACCACCCGTTTAAGGAGGAGGGGGGGGGGGTCTTGTATTCATCAGCACTACAACAGTGCCCCCTTGTGGTCATCATTTTGGGCTGAAATTATGATTGCAGTTAGTAGAATGATGACAGGTTGGATGGTCGTGCAGTTATGTGGAGAGTCCTAAAATAACGTCCTGCTGAAATGAGGGCTTTCGCTGCTGCTCGAGTCTCCGGGGGCAGTGGGTTTGTTGTGTGGGCTCAGTGTGAGTTTAGATACAGGCTACATCTAATTAGAGCCGAGCACTGGACAGCCTTTCTATTTGATAGCAATTAGATCTCTCTGTCAAAGCACCAGCTGGAAACCTGTAGGTTGAGTGAGTGAGTGTGTGTGTACCCTGTAGTCCTATTGTTATGGGGACCAAATATGTAGGAAAATATGTGGAGATATATTTGGTAATTATCCATGTTCTTGGTATTTTCCATGTTTGGAAAAACCCTTGTACATCACACAGAATGAAGTATTCTAAAAAATAAAGGGTTTAGAGGTACAGGTGGGGGAAGAGGACAGAATATACAGCCTATACAGTATAAAGTTATTAAATCTACTGGAAGTCTTCAGTCCTTATAAAGATAGATGCACAAGTGTGTGTGTGTGTGTGTGTGTGTGTGTGTGTGTGTGTGTGTGTGTGTGTGTGTGTGTGTGTGTGTGTGTGTGTGTGTGTGTGTGTGTGTGTGTGTGTGTGTGTGTGCTTGTGCGTGTGCGTGTGTGAGCAAACCATGTATTGTAAATGTTGAGGGGACCAAATGTCCCCACAAGTATGGCAATGTCAGTTCATTTTTCTTTCTTGGGACAGTTTTAGTGTTTTTTTGGTGTACTGTGTTGTGTGCATGTATACCTTGTATTTCTAACATTATGGGGACCAAATGTACCTACAAGTATAGTAATACCTGTAAATTTTGGCTTTGTGGGGACATTTGTGTGTGTGTGCGTGGGCGTGTGTGTGTGTGTGTGTGTGTGTGTGTGTGTGTGTGTGTGTGTGTGTGTTACATATGTTGTGGAATATGAATATATAATATGAATTCACAGAAACGCAGATTGTTTCTTGTTAGGGTTGGGTTCAGGAGTAGGGGTTGGGGGATGTGTGTGTGTATGCGCGTGTGCATGCTCGCATATGTGTGTGTGTGTTTGATCCTGGTTTAACACTCGCACTGCAGGGCGACAGTTGCCGTTCATAAAACAGATGGTAAATTCAAGGCTCGTTGGCAAGCGCAGTACTTTTTTTTTCCTAATCGGTAACATTTCAGCTAATGACTTAATTAGCTATGCAAATTGACAAATCAGTGTGTGGATATTGTTATTTAGTCAAAAAGCCCACCTTAATGAATGAGAGTAATTAAGAAGCAGAGGGTGGGAAGGACTGGCGGTGACTCTGGGGTCTCAGCCAAAGCTCTCAACACCGATGATCAGTGAAAGTGCTGAAGAAGAGACTGCGTGTGTGTGCGTGCATGCGTGCATGCGTGCCTGCATGCGTGTACAAAAAGCAGGTCCATTGTACATTTTATTGATGAATGATTTTTGTTAACGAAACAAAAACAATATGACTGTAAGCTTGCAGGACATAAAATGGCAAACATTTTTTGCATGTCTCAACTTCTCAACATGGTCAACATCTTAGTTCAGTTAATCAGCATGAATGACACCTAATCAGCTCCCTATTTCTAATATATATATATATATATATATATATATATATATATATATATATATATATATATATATATAGTTGAAGTCAGAATTATTAGCCGCCCATTAATTTTTTTTCTTTCTTAAATATTTCCCAAATTATGTTTAACAGAGCAAGGAAATTTTCACAGTATGTCTGATAATATTTTTTCTTCTGGAGAAAGTCTTATTTGTTTTATTTTGGCTAGAATAAAAGCAGTTTTTAATTTTTTAGACAAAATTATTTCCCCCTTTAAGCTATATTTTTTACGATAGTCTACAAAATAAACTATGGTTATACAATAACTTGCCTAATTACCCTAACCTGCCTAGTTAACCTTCTTAACCTAGTTAAGCCTTTAAATATCACTTAAGCTGTACAGAAATGTCTTGATAAATATCCAGTAAAATATTATGCACTGTCATCATAGCAAAGATAAAAGAAATCAGTTATTAGAAATGAGTTATTAAAACTATTATGTTTAAAAATGTGCTGAAAAAAATCTTCTCTCCGTCAAACAGAAATTGGGGAAAAAATAAACAGGGCTAATAATTCCAACTTCAACTGTATATACGTATATACTTTTTTGGCCCACCTGGAATGTCACTTTGCCCACTCTAAAGATCCAAGCTGGAGCCGGGCCTGTTTGCAAGTTGACAGAACTAAAGCTTATAATATGATGATGATCTTATTTAGACTAAGCATGGCTATATGAAGTAGAAAGGAGGGACAGAGTCAGGGAGGTAAGAGTTAATGACATTAATGCTTGGCCTTGGGTCTGGTCTAAAATGAACAGATATTTCTATGAAACATTTTTTTATTCTATAGAATTGTCATAATTAATATTTATGCAAAGTATTTCCTAAGTGATTTTAACATATCACTCCTGTTTTGTCTTTACATTGTGTTCCATTTACATTGTTTTCTGTTATTTACTTAGAATAATAATTGTGTAATAATAATAATAATAGTATTAATAATAATTGTATTTATATTAAAGATAACATTTTTATTTGGAGATTGGGGTGTTGAGGGGCGTATATGGGGTGATTCTTCCAGGGTGCCATTTTAAAGGGCACATAGTTTACCCCTTTTTTGTTTTTTAATATTAGTATTAATATTCTACTGAGTGTGCCAGTTTAGATTCAGTTTAAAACACAGTTCAGATTTTTTTATTATGATGTATTAAAAAGAGTCATGTTGTGGGCGTGTAGACAGCTCGCAGTTTTAGGGGTGTGTTGCTTCACATGAAAATTAGTTCCGGCTTCCCGCCCAACGTAACAAGGGGGGCGGAGCCAAGAGCTCATCCGCTCTGTATTTGCAACAGACAGGCAGACTAAGAGAAGGAGCAGGAGTGAGAGGTTCAGCATTCAGCCGTACATGTACGACTCGGACACAGACCAAGCAGAGAGTACAAAATCTTTTGTGTCTTTGTATAGTTTTACAGCCAACGGTGTGCTAGTTTCAAGTGCCGAGCTTGTACACCAAGACTAACCACGCACACTGAATTAACTTTGACTGAGGCACCGGATGCGTCGCTCGAAGGCTCGAGACAGCACACCAGACACTCTCTGTGGCTTGGCAGAACCATGAAGTGTCCCGAATCGTTGCGCCACGCATTTTAGATCTCTAAACACAGGTTTCCATCAGGGCACACACAACAGCGCCCCAAGTCGGCGGCTGTCCGCTTGGGTTTCCAGACAGAAACCCACGCCCAGAATTCCAAAATGTATGGCGCTGCGTCAGCGTCACGCCACGCAAAGCGGAGCTTCTGGTGTGCGACCTGCAGACAAGTTTGTTATTTAATTTCCAATGGAGAGACGCACACATGAAGCAACGCGCTTGCATTTTCCCAGCTGCACCTAGTTAAGATCACAGGGAGCTTTTGTGAACGTGAAAAATGCGAACGGCTGAAGTTTAAGGTAGACACAATGAAAAGTACAAAGGTTTGCAAACCTACCTAAAGGTAAAACCAATAATTCTGATTAGAGCAATAATGTGGAGAATATTGATCTTGTGTTGAGCCAATGAGCCTTCCAGCTAAACATAGAGCAAAGGTGTTACTTAAGTGATTTCGCTTTGACTCGCTCTGAAAATGGCGGATGTGAAACGACAAACTCAGGATTAGGTGACGCGAGCCTGTCAATCAGTATTGGTGGGTGGGGGGACCGCTCTCCTTCGTCAAGTTGCAGTCGCTCTGAAAAATGCTCCAATTAGTCCACCGTTTTTATGTTGTTAAATTGAAAAATAAGCACTGGGTGTGTTTATCACCTCAATATGACGGTCTATACACTATACTTGCACACATGTCTGTCCAAACAGCTTAGGTGCCCTTTAAGCTTAAACCGCCACTGTTGACACGAGCAGTGTTCACATATGTCTAAATGAATTGAGCTAAGCGGCAAATGCGGTAGGCTCTGAAACAAACAGCTAGGTGTGAAAGCACCCTAAAACGCTATATATTCTCGTCTTGATGTTGACCGTGTGTCTGTTTGTGTTTCAGGATGTGATGGTGGTTGGTGAACCCACTCTAATGGGTGGCGAGTTTGGCGATGAAGACGAGCGTCTGATCACAAGGCTAGAAAACACACAATACGACGCCACCAATGGCCTGGATGATGATGACGACTTCACGAGCTCGCCGGCGCTAGCCAACAACAGTCCCTGGAACAGCAAACCACCTACAGGACAGGACAGCAAGCCGGAGAGCACTGCCTCACAGCCCTCGCAGTAGGAGACAAACACAATGCCTCGGACCTCACTTTATACCCTCCAACATCTACAACCACAAATCCAGAATAAACTCTACTGTAAGATGTGATATGTTAATTCTGTTTTTACTATGGGGGCTGTTGAACGCTTGATTCTGATTGGTTGATGAACAATTATTTTTACGTAAACACTCTTGACCCAAAAAATGAAATTGTGTCATCATGTAGTACAGTAATAAATGAGAGCCCATTACTGTACTTTCACCTGTTTCTTTCTTCTGTTGAACACTAAAGAAGTTATTTTGAAGAATGCTGGAAAACCTGACTTATGTAGTATTTTCCTTTCCTATTATGGAAGTCAATGGTTACCAGTTTTTAGCTTTCTTCAAAATATCTTCTTTGGTGCCCAACAGAAAAAAGAAACTAGAAAACCCACTAGAAGGAGAGTAGATAGTGTGTACATTTACGTTACTATCCCTTTAAGGCCTTTTCACACTAAGCAGGATAAGACCAGACCACAGGAGTTCAGACCACAGTTATAATGATAAAGATGTAGAGAAACGAGAGCGTTGGGGTCACTTTGTAGATTAATGGCAAAGTTTAATATCCACTATTAGGTATTTTTGTTAATTATATCAAGTAAGTTTGAAGCATTCAGGCACAATAAACAATAGTATTTGTTGCTTTAACAAAAAAACAATTACATTTTTATAGTCAATAAAGTGGCTGCCTAGTATCATTTTACATTACATTTTTTTTTTCAAATATTTTTGGCCAACTGCCATTAAGTCTTACCAAACAAATATAAAACTTTTTTTCTCTTATTTGTAAGTTTGTTTTACTGCTAGAAATCTGGTTGAAAGTTATTTTTAAATATATTGTTTTGCATGCAATCCACTATAACATTCTGAAATAGTGAATTCTTCACAAAAAGAGTTGTTCAATCCATCTGGTGAAATATATTTCATATTGCAACGTATACTGCTGGAAAAAATATTGCAATGTACGTTTTTTTCAATATCGTGCAGCCCTGGTTTCATCTTTTCACAACTTTATTAAATATACACTCTCAGAAATAAAGGTACGAGAGCTTTCACTGGAGTGGTACCTTTTCAAAAGGTACAAAGTTGTACCTAAAAAGTCCATATTATTACCTCAGAGATACATATTAGTTCCTAAAATGTACAATATTGTACCTCTTAAATGTTTTAGATGCTAATATATACTTTTGAGGTAGAAATATAGTAAGTGCGTAAGTTAAGTTTATTTATAAAGCAAGTTTAACCTCAGTTTGGCACTGACTAAAGTGCTGAACAAAACCATAGCACACATTCTAAAACAGTAAAATAACAATGAAAGTAATAATAGGAATAATAGTATTACAGCTACAATGTACAATAAAGATTAAAAGCTTTTATTTACATCTAGGTTTTTTTTTAAATAATCGTTGCTGTCACTGAATGTTCTGTTCTGTAAAATGTTTTAATGTATAAAAAATAAAGTTAAAACAAAAAGATTAAAAGCTTAGGAAGGTAATATAATAAAAATGTGTCTTAAGTCTGGACTTAAAAATAGAGAGAGAAGCACTCGTAATGTTCGGTGGCAGCTGGTTCCACAAACGTGGAGCACGGACAGCAAAAGCTCCATCTCCTTTCAGTTTAAGTTGTGACCAAGGAATTTGCAGTAAAAAAAAATTTGAAAACCTAAGGGACTAGGGAGTTTACTGTAGGTTAATAAGTTCTGATATATAAGAAGGTGCTTGCCCGTTCAGTGCTTTAAAAACAATAAGTAAAATCTTGAACTGAACTCTAAAGTTCTTGCTTAAACTGGTGAGATATGAGCATGTTTTTTGGTGCCTGTTAAAAGTCTAGCTGCCGCATTTTGAACCAATTGCAACCGTGCCAATGAAGATTTAGGGATACCATTATATAACAAATTGCAACAGTCTAGACGAGACGTGATAAAAGCATGTATGACCTTTTCCAGTTCTTGAAAAGAAAGAATGGATTTAAGTCAAGAGATGATCCTCAGCTGATAGTAACTATTCTTAACCACTAAGCTGATTTGTTTTTATAGACAAAGCTCCAAATAAAAGATAACTCCTAGATTTTTTACTTGAGATTTACCATGTGGTGTAAGACTTCCCAAGTCTGCAATATAAGACATTCTTGTTTTTATGTGGCCAAAGAGAATAACCCAGTTTTGTCGTTATTAAGTTGAAGGAAGTTTTTGCCTTCCAACATTTAATATCCTCAAGACAATCAATTAAAGACTGCAGAAAGCGGTAGACCCAGAATAGAACCCTGGGTGACACCACACAGAAGAGGGGCAGATGTTGACATAAATTGATCAACAGACACTGAAAAAGACCCGGATTTCAGATATGACTGAAACCAATGAAGTGCTGAACCCTTTATGCCCACCCAATGTTCCAGACATGACAGAAGCATGGTATGATCGAATATATCAAAAGCAGAACTCAGATCCAGTAAAACCAAACTGTATTATTGCCAGAATCTGCAGACAGCAGTAAGTCATTCAACACTTTTAACAGAGCTGTTTCAGTACTGTGGTGCATAGTAAAACCTGACTGTAAAGGTTCAAGTTTATGGGAAGATTTTAAAAAGGCTGTAGCTGTGATAAGACAGCTCTTTCTAGGATTTTCGACAGAAATGGAAGTTTAGAGATGGGATGGAAGTTATGTAAGCAATTAATATCGGCTCTGGGTTTTTTAAGCAATGGCTGGACAACTGCATGCTTTAAAAATAGAGACCCCTTAAGTACAAATGTGTTCCTTATGAAAAGAAACCACCCCTGTGACAGCTCTCAAACCTATTTTTGAGAGTGTATGGTAAAATTAATAATTAAATTCTTTGTGATTTTTTTTTGTTTATTTTTTTTTATTTGACAGTACATTTTTTGGCACAAAATGTTGCGTTATGATCCAGCTTTGCTAGCAAAGAAAGAATTAACATATCACAGTTTCTTGATTTTATTGCATTTTACAAGATTACTTCTTCTTTTTTTGCAATTGGGGTTGTAAATCCCATAACGATGGCGCATTTTGAGTAACGTTCACTGACCAAACTTTGGCAGCAATATTTGCTCTCTGGATTTTATTCCAAATCATCATCCGGCTTGTGCAAGAAGTCAGACTCTTGGAGGACTGAATTAACAGAGACTTGAATCTGGGACAACTTTAGCCCAATAATCAATGTAAAAAAAAAATTAAAAATACCACCAGTCTCGCAGTTCATCACACTTCTGCACAGTGACTAACTCGACATCAACCAATCACTAAAGAGACGCTCATGTCGATCGTTTTCTCACTGGAGACTGAAGCATCAGTGGCGTCCGCCGAGACCAATCCCTGAACATTTGCATCTTTATTGGAAATTCGTTTGGCTTTTTGTCTTTTCCCTGTGCTTTAATTAAACGTCTCACGTTCCTTTAACACAACAGACTGTGTTGTCAAAGACAAAAAAAAACAGATTGTACTTTAATTACAATATTTGATTTCGGAGTTAGTGTGTTACTTTATTAATTTGTGATATTTTGTGTTCTCCTCTTATACCTTTTTGGACTGGCAGGCATATGTGAAAAGCATCTTTCATCATGATATGTTTCTGCATGAAGTTTATTTCAAGACTTTTTGATCATGTCGGAAGCTCAGAAACCAGAATTATGATGAAAACGATAATGTCTGATGTCACTGACACCATCAGACCTTCAGCTGTTTCGACAACTTTTTGATTGTTTCTTTCATATTTCATACTCCGGAATGAACTTCATATTTAGAAATGATGATATTAGATACAGTGCATCTGGAAAGTATTGATAGCGCTTCACTTTTTCCACATTTTTTATATTAAAGCTTTATTCCAAATGGGATTAAATTCATTTATTTCCTTAAAATTCTACACACAATACCCCATAATGACAATGTGAAAACAGTTTTTGAAATTTTGGCTAATTAATTAAAAATAAAAAGCTGAAAAATCACATGTACATCAGTATTCACAGCCTTTGCTCAATACTTTGTTGATGCACCTTTGGCAGTAATTACAGCCTCAAGTCTGTTTGAATATGATGCCACAAGCTTGGCACACCTGCCCATTCCTCTTTGCAGCACCTCTCAAGCTCTATCAGGTTAGATGGAAAGTGATGGTGTACAGCCATTTTAAGATCTCTCCAGAGATGTTCAAAAGGAATTAGGTCTGGGCTCTGGCTGGGCCACTCAATGACATTCACTTAATTATTGTGAAGCCACTCCATTGATGTTTTGGTGGTGTGCTTTGGGTCGTTGTCCTGTTGGAAGATAAACCGTCGCCCCAGTCTGAGGTCAAGAGCACTCTTAATCAGGTTTTCATTCAGGATGTCTCTGTACATTGCTGCATTCATCTTTCCCTCTATCCTGACTGGTCTTCAGGTTCCTGCTGCTGAAAACATCCCCACAGCATGATGCTGCCACCACCATGCTTCACTGTAGGGATGATATTAGCCTGGTGATTAGTGGTGCCTGATTTTCTCCAAACGCAACTTCTGGCATTCATTTCAAAGAGTTCAATTTAGTCTCATCAGACCAGAGAATGTTGTTTCTTATGGTCTGAGAGTCCTTCAGATGCCTTTTGGCAAATTCCAGGCAAGGAGCAGCTTCCGTCTGGCTACTCTACCATACAGGCCTGATTGGTGGATTGCTGCACAGATGGCTGTCCTGTAAGGTTCTCCTCTCTCCACAGAAGAACGCTGGAGCTCAGACAGATTAACCATTGGGTTATTGATCACCTCCCTGACTAAGGCCCTTCTCCCCCGATCACTCAGCTTAGATGACCGGCCAGCTCTAGGAAGAGTCCTGATGGTCCCAAACATCTTCCACTTATGGATGATGGAGGCCACTGTGCTCATTGGACCTTTCAGAGCAGCAGAAATTTTTCTGTAACCTTCCCCAACCTTGTGCCTCCAGACAATCCTGTCTTGGAGGTCTACAGACAATTCCTTTGCCTTCATGCTTGGTTTGTCCTTTGACATGCACTGTCAATCCTGGGACCATATATAGACAGGTGTATGCCTTTTCAAATCATGTCCAATCAACTGAATTTACCACAGGTGAACTCCAATGAAGCTGCTGAAACATCTCAAGAATGATCAGTGAAAGCAGAATGTACCTGAGCTCAATTTAGAGCTTCTCGGCAAAGGCTGTACATGACATGCAAATGTGATTTTTCAGGTTTTTTATTTTTAATAAATTTGCAACAATTTTAAAAACTCTTTTTTTCACATTGTCATCATGGGGTATTGTGTGTGGAATATTGAGGAGCAAAATTAATTTAATCAATTTTGGAATAAGTCTGTAACATTAATAAATGAGGAAAAAGTGAAGCGCTGTGAATACTTTCCGGATGCACTGTGCAAATTACTGTAAATCCAGCCACAAATATTCAGTTCTTTAGCTTTATGTATGAGTTTTAAAAACATTCATTATATCTTCATACTTTTAATATATATTAAAACTGCTTTTTTATTTAAAATAATCATTTTAAAAAATGCAAGTCATGTGATCAGTTTCATACCGCTTTCTGTAATTTATGTAGCTAGATGCACAAAAATGCTTTTCATATACTGTACATTGGACATTTCTTGAAGTCCCTTTAAGAGTCGCAGTGCATTTTACTGTTTGAAAGGAAGATTGCAATGATGATGATGACAAACAGCCAAATATTTTTTAATTAATCTGTTTTTTTGTCTTTCTCTAATTTGTCATTAGAAACGTATTATCTCAAAGCCTGGGGTATTTCCAAAACCAATAAATTATCAGGCACCCACTGTTTAAACCTTGTATTATTGACACTCTGCACAGTTTGTAAAATATTTAGCAGAGGTGTTTTTTGTGTCATATCCAAAGTCTTGTATGTATGCTTTGCCATTTTGTGTGCCAATAAATTGTGCTTACAAAACCTTTTGCCTAATATTTTTGTCAATATGCTAATATTTTATTTGCCAACATGTTTTTAATTGCTGTGATGAGTACTGGTGCTGATTAGAACGATTTAAAATCGATATCATAATGCCACATGTTGACAACAGCCATGTAAATCTGACACACTTTTGTTTGTTTTGTCTGTCCTCTTGCAAGTTTCAATGGCGCCATCTTGTGTTCAGTATTACCACACACAGTACTGCGATTTTTATTCATTCGTTTTCCTTCTGCTTAGTCCAGGCATGTCCAAACTCGATCCTGGAGGGCCGGTGTCCTGCAAAGTTTAGTTCCAACCCCAATAACTCACCTAGGCAAGCTAATCAAACCCTTATTAGGCTTTCTGGAAACATCTTTGCAGGTGTGTTGAGGCAAGCTGGAGCTAAAATCTGCAGGACACCGGCCCTCCAGGACTGAGTTTAAACACCCCTGGCTAAGTCCCTTCATTAATCAGGGGTCACCACAGAGGAACAACTTGCCAACTTATCCAGCATATGTTTCACACAGCGCATGCCCTTCCAGCTGCAACCCAGTTCTGGGAAACATTCATACACTCTCGCATTCACACACATACACTATGGCCAATTTAGTTTATTCAATTCATCTATAGCGCATGTGCTTGAACTTGTGGGGGAAACCAGAGGAAACCCACACCAACACGGAGAGAACATGCAAACTCCACACAGAAATGCCAACTGGCTCAGCCGGGACTTGAACCAGCAACCTTCTTGCTGTGAGGCGACAGTGCCAACCACTGAGCCACCGTGTCACCCCTTAATTTTAACATTCATTCATACATTAATTTTCTTTTCGGCTCTGTCCCTTTAATAATCTGGGGTTGCCACTGCGGAACGAACCGCCAACTTATTCAGCATTTGTTTCACACAACGGATGCCCTTCCAGCCGCAACCCATCTCTGGGAAACATCCATACACACTCAATCACACTCATACACAGACAATTTAGCCTACCCAATTCACCTGTACCGCATATCTTTGGACTGTAGGGGAAACCGGAGCACCCAGCGGAAACCCACAGGAACGCAGGGAGAACATGCAAACTCCACACAGAAACGTCAAGTGACCCAGCCGAGGCTTGAACCAGCGACATTCTTGCTGTGAGGCGACAGCACTACCTACTGCGCCACTGCGTCGCCTTAATTTTAACAATTAAAAATTATTATTTATTATTATATATTATATCATTGTTTATTTTTATTAACAGCATTGAGTAAACAGGTGATATAGTATAATCTTAAGCCAATATTACACTTTAAAAATAAAAATGCATGCAAAATTAACAACACATGCATACGCGTTTACATTATAAGGCTACTTTCTGTAAAAAGTAACTAACATTTACATACTTTTTAAAATAAGTGACTTACGATTGTAACATATGACTTATTCCCCAACATTGTTTAGACGCTAATATTATTAAAACAAATTAAAATTAGATGATTCAATTTATATATACAGTATATTCAGTTAATTTAAACTGCGTGACTAAATTTAACAATTAATAAAATACATTTATATTTATTTATCCAAAGCTACTTATAAATGAGGGATTGTTGCTAGAAGTACAGCTGTGGACAAAAGTTACCAAGAATTATTTAAATCACTTATTAATTTACCCATTAATTCTATTTTATTAACATCTACCTCTACCCCAACCTTAAACCCAACCATCAAAGTAATGTCAAAATAGTAAACCAAGTATTGTTCATATTATTTATAAAATTGCACAATAAATAGATTTTATTAAAGCCTACCCCTACTTCAACCCTAAACCCAACCACAACAGTCATGTAAAAACAGTAGTTAAACCGAGTATTATTCATATTATTTATTAAATTACCCATTATTTCATTTTATAAACGCCTGCTTCTTCCCCAACCCTAAACCCAACCATCAATTAATGTAAAAACAGTCATTACAAAGCAAGTATTGTTCATATTATTTATTAAATCACTCATTAAATTGTATTTTACTACTGTCTACCCCTACCCAACCATCACAATAATGTAAAAAACAGTAATTAAACCAAGTATTATTCATATAATTTATTAAATTACCCATTAATTTTATTTTATTAACATCTAACCCTATCCAACACTCACAATAATGTAAAAACAGTAATAAACCAAGTATTATTCATAGTATTTAATACATTTCCCATTAATTTGATTTTAGAAATGTGTGCTCCTTCCCCAACCCTAAACCCAACCATTAATTAATGTTAAAACAGTAATTAAAACAAGTATTATTCATATTATTTATTAAATTACTCTTTAAATTGTATTTTATTAACGTCTACCCCTACCCCAACCATAAACCGAACCATCACAATAATGTAAAAACAGTAATCAAACCAAGTATTATTCATATTATATATTAAATTATCCATTAAATTGATTTTACTAACCTCTACCCCTATCCTGACCCTAAACCCAACCCTAACAGTGATGTAACAATATTATTTATTGTTGTACAGAGTGACAAAAATTATGCTATATTGATGTGAGTATCCACAGCTGTCTCCCATCTAGACTTTACCCAAATTTGCACAATAGAATTATTCAAAAGCAAGTCAAAAAATTGAAAATAATGACTTTTGTAAGTCTAATGCAGTAAACAGAGAGATAGTGAGAAAGTTTTATCGGTCTTTAGTTTTAATTATTTTTACTAAGATTAGAACCGAATAAGTGTTTCACATTTTAGCCTTTTTGTAAATTAGAAAACTATAGGCTACCTTAAGTTCAGTATCATATATACGTTTATGCTATCATTTCTTTTATAACCTCTGCGATATTTCATGTTTACATGCGCGTGCGTTGTGTTTATCGCAACAGCGCGCTTCTGTTTATCAGTGTCACGTGCGTGATGTGATGATGACGTCACAGCGAAGATGGCGGACTCGTTGGCTGTCGGGACGTCAGACGAAAAAGATCCCGAAAATGAGGATCACAAAGGGGTGAAATGCTCGTGGGCTCCAGAACGGATGTCGGAAAAAACGAACATCTTGACCACCATGACGGAAACTCTAGGATGTTACGAGAATCCCGCGGTTAAAGAGGAGCAGATGGAGCACTCAGGTGAGAGAGAAAGCATCTGACAACAGCTGACCTTCGATTGGCGCTTCCAGCGTGGCTTCAGTTTACCTTACTTTTACCAGGGTGTTCAGTGTGGACAGTATTCTTAAATACTGTAAGTTTTCTTGTTTAGCAGTCAAAGTTTTGCATCCTCAGCTTTTTACAGGGCTCTATTTATGCGTTTCGTTTTTGTTTTGCTCATTTTATACGTTGTTGAAGTCAAAAGTTGTTAGCCTTACTTTTTTCAATTATATTCCCAAGTGATGTTTACATATAGACGATTTTTTTTTTATCAATAAACAATTTCTATCTACCTGCTGACATTTTTCAGATACTAGAATTCAGCTTAAAGTGCAATTTAAAGAATTTACTATGGTAATTAGGCTAAATAGGCTTCTTAAGTTAGGCAAGTCATTGGACAACAGTTGTTTGTTCTGCAGCCAATCGAAAAAAATAATATTAATTTCTTAGGATGGCTAATAAGGTTGACCTTAAATATTAATCACAGGGAAGCTAATAATTTTCACTTCAGCTAAGTTAAATGTAGAAAACAAAACTCTGGTTTAGTGTACAATGTTCATGGGAAGCCTGAGTGGGTCATCTAAGCTCTGTGAGTTGTTTCTAAACAGCCTACCTGGGGCCTGTTTCAGTAAGGAGGTTCAAACAACTCAGAGTTTAAACTTGAACTCTGAGTTGATTTACCGAGAGATTAAAAACTCTGAGTTTTCGGTTTCAGAACAGCTGATCTGAGTTGGGTCAATCAACTTCGAGTAGACCAACTCAGAGTTAAGCGCGCACACCGTGACTTTAAAAAGGCATTATCAATGGAGCGCAGATATTACGAGTGACTATGGCAATATCTTATAAAAGAGATCAGCATTTCTTTCTCCAGCTGAACTTGATGTTCTCATGCAAAGTTATAGCAAATATGAGTGTATATATTTGAAAAGAAGCAACCATCAGTGAAGAAGAGACAGTTAGCGTGGGAAAACAGCTGCTCAAGTTAATGCCTAATTTCACTTTTTAAGTATTTAAATATTTAAGTATAATAAAATTAGTAATGTAATTTGTGACGTCTATATTTTTTTTCTAAACTTTTTTTATACATTTATTAGTTTTAAATGATTTAACAGTGCACTTGTGTCTGCCTTTTTTATTGATCAAGTGATAGAGGTTAATATAACATTTAGAAGGTAAGCAGTACTAAAAATAATTTTTAGAAAGAATAATAATCCCATTAATCTAGTTACAGTGCATGTCGAAGGTGAATTTAATTTAATTATTTATTAAAAAAGGATAAGCCATTCTCGTACAGTTCTTCCCTGTGTGACTAAAATGTAGGCAATAGCTATGTTTCCATCCAAATATATTACATAAATGTATGTGCAAAACTGGAATATTGCATAACAGATGCGAATAAAATTCCATCCAACGAGTCAAAGAGAAAAAAAAATTGTCACTTTCTGATTAAACTGGCACCAAATATCAACAGTAAAAACAGAATTTGCTGTGGTAGAAGAAGCTGCGTCAATTAATTCTTTATTTAGCCTAATTAATGTACTTGCGCCTCGATGTCAGAAGACAATGCTGAAACACAATGAACACGTGGGGGGTCTGAAGCCATGAGACGCGGAGACTCACGCACCAGACGTTCGGAGGTAATTAATATACACTAATACTGAAACAGTAAAGGCATTTTAGAATGACTAAAACAATATTTAAGACGTCTTACAGTGTGCTGAGCCTGCTGGTTTGTTCATTTACACACATTCATTATCATATGATCATGATCTTTTTTTTAATGTACATACTGTAATTTGTTCAGTAAAAGTGTTTCCATCGTAGTTTATGCGCACATTTTCTATCGAATAAAAGTTTATCCTACTCAGTTATGCGCGTTTTTATGCATATTTTGAAAAGTTATGTGCATCATGACGTTTCTATCAATCGTTTTTATGCACGTATCCAAAATAAGCATTAAAATAGGTGTGTGGAGGCGTAAGGCTAAGGCGAGAAATACCGCTTCATCTTTAAAAAAGGGGAGGAGACCGACAGAAACTCTTGAGTTTAGAGAATAAAACCTGCTTCTGACCAGGTTAGATTCACAGAGTAAGTTGCCACAGTAACTGACTCTGAGTTAAAGTTACCTTTCTTTCAGAAACAGGCTTGACTTACCCTGCTTTCTCGAGTTTAACAAACCTGCCGTTTTGAAACGGAAAACCCAGAGTTTCTCTCATTTCAGGGTTAAAATACTCTGAGTTTTCACTTAACCTCCTTTCTGAAACAGGCCCCTGGTTGTGATCCAAACACAGATATTTACACTAGATATCGCATACGGACCCTGAGCATGCGTCAATAGAGTCGCCACACGTGTACAGTGCTCCCAAGACAAATGTATAACTGCACTAATCAACTCAAGACTAAAGCCAATGTGAAGATTCTAGACTTTAGTGCTGAGTACAGGTGTAATAGCGAGTAAACAAAGAAAACAAATTCAATTCACTTTTATTTGTATAGCGCCTTTACAATGGAGATTGTGTCAAAGCAGCTTCACATAGAAGATCATAGTAAATTGAAACAGTGTCAGTCAAGTTTTCAGTGTTTAAGTTCAGTTCAGTTCGGTGTGGTTTAATAACCACTACTGAGGGTCCAAACACAGAGGAGCAAATCTATTGATGTGCAGCTCTACAGATCCCGAACCATGCAAGCCTGTGGCGACAGCGGCGAGGAAAAAACTTCACCAATTGGCGAAAGTGAATAATTAAAAAACCTTGGGAAACCCAGGCTCAATTGGGCATTTTTTTATACAATACACTAGGAACTCTAGTACTTTTCTTGGCTTTTAAGTAAAACAAAATGAGTATTGTAATAAATTGTTTTAATTGTTTTTCTCCTTCACCTCTTACTGTTCGTATTACCTATAGAATAAAAAAAAAAAAAAAAAAAAAAACATGTGTCAAGCCATGAGAACCGACCCGAAAAATGTGTTAAAAAACTGAGGTATGTATTGAACCCTGGGCTAAGTGTATTGTTGCATCCCTAATATAAATATATATATATGTATATGTGTTTTCCGTTTATTTACGGTTGTGAACTACATTATGGGATGTTGATCTCTGTTTTGTCGACTTTTGATGTTGAAAATTCAACTCCACAGTTTAACAAAGTGACTTTTATTTTGACAATTTAGTAGTTTAAAATATTATAATGTATAAGAAATAATATATAGAGAGAAATAAGTGTGTTAAATGACAGAATGTACTAGCAGTTTATTACAAAGTTTTGTAGCGTGATTTACAACACTAACCCAGACAATATATAACTTTAAACTATTAAAAATGGTCATAAAAGCCAATTTATTTAAACTTTTCAAGATTAAAAGTTGATGGAAGAAAGATCGAGCTCCCATAATGTGATTGAAATGCATAAATAAAAGGGAAAAATTAAAACATGAATCACAAAATACACAAACTGCAAACTTGCAGATGTTTTTAACAGTGTTTGCAATGTCCGGGAAAAAGCAGGTGTCATCCAACCATCCTCAGCTCACTAATGACTTCTTATTGTTAAGGGATTTGAGTTTTCAGCAGCTGAATATCTGAAGAGTGACATACATATTAACAGTAGCTGAACAATACAATATAATTTATTTTTATTTTTATATTTTCTTTATTACCAAGTAGGACATGTTCCTGGATCAGCAACTATAGTTAAAATCAAATTTATTCGCCCTCCTGTGAATTTTCTTTTCTTTTTCAAATATTTCCCAAATGCTGTTTGACAGAGCAAGGATTTTTTCACAGTATTTCTAATAGTATTTTATCTTATGGAAAAAGTCTTAATTGTTTTATTTCAGCTAGAATAAAAACAGTTTTAATTCATTTAAAAAAAATTTAAGGTCAATATTATTAGCCCCCTTAAGCAATATTTGTTTTACAATATTGTCCACAGAACAAACCATCGTTATACAATAACTTGCCTGATTACCCTAACTTGCCTAGTTAACCTAATTCACCTAGTTAAGCCTTTAAATGTCACTTTAATCTGTATAGAAGTGCCTTGAAAAATATCTAGTCAAATATTGTGTACTGTCATAGCAAAGATAAAATAAATCAGTTATTAGAAATGAGTTATTAAAACTATTGTGTTTAGAAATGAGTTGAAAATATCTTCTCTCTCTAAACAGAAATTAGAGGGAACATGTACAGGGGGGCTAATAATTCAGGAGGACTAATAATTCTGACTTCAACCGTATGTCCAATAAATCCAATATATGTCCATATATTATATCATATATCATAGTTAATAAATAAATTCAGTAGTGATGGGGCGAAGACTAGAGGGGCAGTAAGTGGGAATTGTAGAATCCGCAGATGCAGAACCGCTGTGGGTCAGTCATCCTTTTCAGTAAAAGGTTCACATCTATAGAATGCCATGCCTGTTCATTTAAAGTTACAATCAGAACTCCCAGTTTTTTCTGTAAAGCTGAAAGAATGGTTGAAATCTTTACAGCAATGTGAACATTAAGCATTACTCTTTCAGGTTGGTCCCATTTACATTTCTCTTTATCCATATGGACTTGCATCTTATGTTTATGGCTCTGTAAATATTGTACATGTTTGCTGTATTGTGTTTTATTCTTGCCGGTTTTCTTTATTATCATTATTATTATTTTTTTTATTATTTTTTTTTTTATAATGTAAAGCCTAACCAGGGACGAGGGCTGCAAATTAGCTTTATGCTATATGCCCTATTTACACAACATCGGTTATCTTTGTATAACAATGCCAAGTGTATTGTCCCTGTAAAATAAACAAGCAAATAAAATAAATAAATAAAAAATATCCCACACCCAATCAGATTTAAGGGATAAGTCTACAGTTTACGTTTAGGCTTACAGTTAGGGTTGTGCTTTTACATCATTGTTATCCAACTAATAATCTCCTCAGATGTTAGGGTTAGGGATTAGGTATGGATTAAATTTTTGATCAATAATGAGGATCAATTTAGATGATAATCCAGGACCACGTCCCACTTAGCAAAATCACACTCAACTGTGGAATTGTTGAGATCAAGAAATTTGTTCATCCATTGAAGATTAATGCTAAACAGTTTGGTTTACAACATTGTTTGATATTGTTTGGTAAGTTTCATAAAGTCTTACAAATTTGAAACACTCATATTACTTGTAATTACACTTGTAGCTTCTTTTTTGAGGGGGTATTGCTTATATTTTAAGTTAGGGGTGAACGATATTGCAAGAAAAAAAAGATCACGATATCATGTTTCATATCATTCGGTATAGAAAATTGTTATATATTTTGTAGCAATACATTAAGGAATATTAGGAATTTTTTTATTTAACCACTTTAATTTACCAACATTACTAAGGCAAATAGTTTTAATAGTCAAAAACAAAACTATTTCAACAAAAAAATGTCATCTCTTTATAATAAAATAAACATAAGTGTTTAAAAGGACTCTTAAACTTGATAAACAAAACGTTACAAAGTCCATATTTTTATCTAATAATTGTCATGGGGCATGAACAATATGTTGCTGAATTAAAGTAACCCGCTGAACTGCACTTAAAGTCTAAAGATTACAAATGAAACACCTGAAACTAGATGAAACTCTGGAGGATTTGCTGGAGAGCCTGGTGATGCGACATTAATTGTTTTATACTGAAACTTTCCTTCTTATTCATATTTCTTTGCACGTTAAACACACGTCGACCATGACAGGAAATCAAAAAAACTGCAACTGCGTTAATTGCGTAAATTTTTTTACGTTAGAATTAAATATTTCAAATTAATCGCGTGCGTTAATGTGCTAATTTTGACAGCCCTAATATTATATACACGGATTAAACCTTAATATTTATTTTTTTTAAGTTCCTGTTTTTTATGCTGCTTATAATAATAGTTTATTTATATATTTATTTATTTTATCTGGCAAAGAGAGGGTAGTTGCGTTTCTGCGTGGAGTTTGCATGTTCTCCCTGCGTTCGTGTGGGTTTCCTCCGGGTGCTCTGGTTTCCCTCACAGTCCACGAACATGCAGTTCAGGTAAATTGGGTAGGCTAAATTGTCCGTAGTGTATGAGTGTGTATAGATGTTTCCCAGAAATGGGTTGCAGCTGGAAGGGCATCCGCTGCGTAAAACATGTGGTGGATAAGTTGGTGGTTCATTCCGCTGTGGCAACCCCGATTAATAAAGGAACTAAGCCGAAAAGAAAATAAATGAAAGAGAGGCTAGTTTATTTACAATGCAGAAATTAGACGTACAAAACCTTATAACACAATGGACATCTTGCTTCTACACAATATGTGCACCAAAAAAAGAAGATTCAAATCAGAATATGTATATTGTTGTCAAGGCTGTCTGTAGACTTTGCATTTGACCAAATTTGTTAATTAAATTAATTGACTGTCGTTAGTTTGTGTTGTAGTAATACAATTATATTAAAAGACCAAATTTAGCTCAAACATTATTGATGATGCGATCTGTAAACAGGTCAGCAGCTCATAATTATTTACCCATAATTTGAACACAACACTCTTCATTACACATTAAAGTGGACCTATTATGCACAAATCTCTTTTTAAAAGGGTTTAAACACTTTTGTGTGCCAACAGTCTGTGAATATAACCAGATTCTCATTGTTAAAATATATTAGTTTTCTGTTTTATATAATAAAAACAGTCTGCAGAAATGCTTTGATTGACATTCTCCTTTTGTACCATCAGAGAAAGTCTATTAATCCCTTCTGATGTCATGACCATTTTCCCTCATTAGCATAGGTTGTCTTGTTAGTCTTGTTTTTTAATCTACCACTATGCTGACACACAGGCATTTGTAGCTTCACCCTCTTTTAAAGTGACAGTCACCAAAATGGCACAATTCAGAGAATCAAAGCCCAAAGGGGGCAGTTTCAAACAGTTATAAAAATGATTTGTGGTATACACACTCCAGGGACATCTGAGACTTATTTTAAAACTTGTAAAAAGGGCCATAATTGGTACCCTTTAAGCAGTTTCCCTTAGAAAATTCCCTGCAGCTGGTGCTGTACTGTATGCGGATCACAACCAGATAAATAGTTTGCTTGGCTTTGACTGCATCACTGAACACATTGTTTTTCTCTTCCTCACAGATGTGGATGAGCCGGAGGATCCGTCTCTGTTAAGGTTCATGTGTGCAGAACTGACCAGAGGATACTTTCTGGAGCACAACGAGGCCAAATACACAGAGCGCAGGGAGAGGGTTTACACATGCATGAGGATCCCCAGAGAGCTGGAGAGGGTGAGTCCCAATATCCAATGCTGAATACTGAGGAGACACCCCTCAGTAGGAAATTATATATACATTTTAATGTATTCCTGGTAATATGCATACAGTACTGTGCACTAAGTCTGAGGCCAATAATATTTTAACTATTGCTTGCCAAAGATTATTTGTAATTAATTGCATCCAAAATAAAAGTTAGTTTTTACAAAACATAACACACACAAGCATAAAACAAATCTATTCAAAACTAATTTGTTACAAAGATAGAGTGAATTTCAGTTCAAATTGACTACTACTGCCACATATGACGCCATGGGACACAGATTACGAAAATGTGTTTAGGTGTAACAGGAGTTTGCAACAATGCCACCAGGGGGCACAAAGGGACGGAATATGAACAGAAAGAAATATACAGTAGCTGTAAATACACTAATACTTATAAATGAACTAAAATGACGAAACCAAGCATTATAATTGCTTAATAAATCATTAAGAACCTGTTAATAAGCTTCTTTATCATTGCAAACTTGTTAAATACAATACGGATTCATTTTGTAAATCAAAACAAAAGAAATAAAAGACAACTAAATTAAAAGTACAAACATAAATAAATAAATCAAGCAGTGTTTTAGCCTAAATATAGAGAGATGTACAGTGTTTGTTATTTTAAAGTGATAGGACTAAGACAGCCAATAAATAAGCTTTTTCATTTTCTTTGATTACATTTTGCTTTTCATTTTATTTTTTGATTATTGTACATAATTAATAAATGAATAATAAAATAGGCCAAATTGTATTTATCTGTTTTTAAATGTATATATAATTTGTATCATATTCATGATTCATATATATTTTATATCTAAATATAAATATATTTTCTAAAATATTTATATATTTATATGCACAGTACACATATGTATATTATGTCAAAACAAATTTTTATTTTCAATGAGTCTAATCTTTGCCCAGCACTAATTTGAACTAACAAAAAAGATTTGAAGCAAGTTCTTTCTGTGTTTTTTGTGTAGTGTGTCAGTGGGTTAGGTCAGTTTGCATTTCCAAACATATTTTTTTTGCTATATTAATTTTAATAATCCAGTGAGAAGAGAAATCTGATTTCACAATCATCATGAAGAAACCGAGACAAACTAAATCCAGAAGAACACTTTAAGAGTCTGTCTTTGTGCAAGGTTAAATTGCACTGGATTATTACAAATAATAATAGCAAATAGCATAAATAATGTTTGGAAATACAAACTGATATTTCCCATGATGACACTACAACAAAAGACAGAAATGTTATATAATTAAACAGAAATCTTTAGATTTTTAATATTACATTAAACAATAATAATAATTGTTGTTATAACGCTTAATAGTAGTGTTTCATTTTACAGCACTGTTATTATAGTTAAACCAAAAAAGTTTATCTTCAAATAAAATAAACATTAGACAAAATCATTAAAAATAGTTTTTGTCTTATTTAACTTGATGTGCTTAAATAACAAAACAATACTATAAAATAAAAAAAACATGAAACATCTATTAAAAAGGACAAAAACACAACAAAATGAAAAATAATTAGCTTGAAAATGGTAAATATGACAAACCATTAAAATATTTACAGTAGTATCTTAATTGCTGAAAAATAACAGTAATAAAAATAATAATAATCATTATTATTATTATTATTATTTTTAAAAAATGTTTTACTTAAAATTGGTCACATTTTTGTCTAATTTACTTTGATGTGCTAAAATAACTTAGACTATAAAATACTAAAACATATAAAAAAAACTATTAAAATTACAAAAACAACAAAATTAAAAGCTTTATAATAAAAATATTTAATAAATATGGTACATATAAAAAATATAATTGAAACTATTATTAATAATAATAATAATAATAATAATGTCTCAGAAGCTGAAAAATAACAGTTTTACAGAACGTTCATTATTATTATTTTACTTTAATGTTATGCAATTCTACAAATATTTGTTGAATGCAGTGCAAGAGTCAGTGAATGTGTGGAAATCTCTGATTGCAGTCCTAGTCACAAGGTCACATAATAAACATTTTCCTTTGCCGGTTTCACATTAGTCAAGATATTACTTCTCATCAAAACTCTGCTTCAGCTCTTTTAGATATTAGCAAATTATTATTTCAGATTATTCAGATTAATATAATCAAAATAATCCAGTGCTGTCAGCACCAGTCGCTGGTTCAAGCCGCCTCGGGACAGTTGGCATTTCTGTGTGGAGTTTGCATGTTCTTCCCATATTCGCGTGGGTTTCCTCTGGGTGCTCCGGTTTCCCCCTCAAGTCCAAAGACATGCGTTATAGGTGTATTGGGTAAGCTAAACTGTTCATAGTGTATGTGTGTGAATGAGAGTGTATGGGTGTTTTCCAGTGATGGGTTGCAGCTGGAAGGGCATCTGCTATGTAAAACATATGCTGGATAAGTTGGCGGTTCATTCCGCTGTGGCGACCTTAGATTAATAAAGAAAAGAAATTAATTGAATGAATGATCCAGTGCTTTGCTCTTCTTCATAATGTTAAAGTGTTTATACCCACTAGATGGCGATATTGAGCTTCAGCAAACTACTAAGATTGCCTAAAGTTAATTTCTCATTAATAAAGTAATATTAAACACACAATTATAGCTGATATAATGGGCAGTGTGTCTGTTTTCAGAGAGCGCTTTTCGCATTCAGCTCTCAGGTTTGTGTGGTATGTTGAGGTATTTGCACACAAAGACGCCTCTGTGACCCTGAAGCTGCTGCTCCTCCTCTCAAACCCTAGAAAGAGTCCACAGTTAGTACTGACCTGGAAACAGTTTATGTTTGTTATGCTTACTTTTACTGATTCCTGGTCATAAACCTGCTGCTGTCCTGTCCTGCGTACTTTTCTGGAAGTAGCTGATGTGTGTATTTCTGCACTGATTGAAAATGGTTTCTGTGAGCCAGTGTGTTTTCTTGGAGCAGGTAGGGCTCATGTTTTTTATCGTCCTGCTGACGAGCCCCTGCTAGGGCTGTGCATTATGACAATATATATCATATAGGTAAAATACAATGTTTATCATTTCATATTATGCTCTATTTTTTGTATTGTGGTGGGAAAAAATACATTGTTTACCGTTAAGGCTTTTCTTAATTTATATGAAAGCAATTTACACTCAGAAATAATGGTACGCAAGCTGTCACTGTATGGAAGGTAAATCCTGCCAATTTTAAATAAATCAAATAAACATTGAGAATAAAAATGAAAACCAGATTAACAATTTAATTTTAAAACTCTGTTTGCAAAATATCTGCCAAAATTGAAAAGGAAATGATTTCATTTTCACTGTGACAACACAACGTCCCTGTCAAATCAATAACTGGATAATTGTCTACTACACTTGGTACCCTTTTGGCAGTGGAAACGCAAGCCTGATAAAGGTGACCCGTACTGACCCATACCGGTCGTAGTGTAAACTTCTCTGACCACATTTCTAGAACTGCTCGATCTTGCAGATTCGCACTTCATAACATCAGAAAGGTCCGACCCTTCCTATCTGAACATCCAGCTCAACTCCTTGTTCAAGCTTTTGTTCTCTCCAGACTGGACTATTGCAACTCTCGGGCTTCCAGCTAACTCTATCAAACCTCTTCAGCTGCTTCAGAACGCAGCAGCACGAGTGGTCTTTAATGAACCTAAAAGAGCACATGTCACCTACTCATCCGTTTGCACTGGCTGCCAGTTGTTGCTTGCATCAAATTCAAAGCTCTGATGTTTGCTTACAAAGCGACCTCTGGCTTTGCTCCTTATCTGCTCTCACTTCTGCAGATCTATGTGCCCTCCAAAAACTTGCGTTCTGTGAATGAACGTCGCCTTGTGGTTCCATCCCAAAGAGGGAAGAAATCACTTTCGCGAACTCTCGTGCTCAATCTGCCCAGTTGGTGGAATAAACTCCCTGACTGCATCAGAACGGCAGAGTCACTCGCCGTCTTCAAGAAACGATTAAAAACTCAACTATTTAGTCTCCACTTTCCTTCCTAATCTGCAATTGCCTCTCTGGCTCCGCTGCTAACTGTATTACAAAAAAAAAATAAAAATACTAATGTTTTGGCTTCATACACTTTACATACCTGAAACTTGCCTACAACTCTTATTCATTGTTGCTCTTATAGTTGTGTAACTTGCTTCCTCGTCCTTATTTGTAAGTCGCTTTGGATAAAAGCGTCTGCTAAATGACTAAATGTAAATGTACCATTCAGTGGAAACGGGCCAATATGTACCCACACAGACCCCAGGTTGAGCGCCCCACATGCTGGCCTCACTAGCACCACTTCCGGTGTGGTGAGAAATCAAGTCTCCCCTGCAATCAAGGAAAGGATTGTCGTTTGTGAATGCCTGATCAAAAGCTATTATTGTTGTGTGGCTAATCAGAGCTGCGTTAGCTTATTGTAGCCAGGAGGCTAACGGTGGGCTAACTAAACAGTATGAAAAATAAATGCTCAATTTCATAATCCATGCATGCCTTTAATTACACATAAGTACACGAAAGGGTCAATATAAAGCTTATGCATGCCATTTTAAAGGTGAAATGAAGTAGTCACACTTTTTAAATGTTATAAATCATGAACAGGGCTCGAAATTGCGACCATTTTGGTCGCATATGCGCCCAAAATTTTATCTATGCGACCTCAAAATATATTTGGGAGCATTTGTTTGAGTGCATAAAATTGTTGTGTGCGGCCAGTTTTTACTGCAAAATGTTCGCCACATGCGCGGATTTAGGAGACATTCAGGCTGAATGCATCTCTGCACTTGAAACGCGAAACGCAGCGCTCAGGAATGGTTTAAAACAGTTGTCATGTCAACTTGCTGCAGTAAACAAAGCCAAGTCCATAATGCTTGTCCTGCCTTCGCCCTCTTCTTATTGGCCCACCACTGCACTTGCAATGAAATATCAGCTGTCAATCACTCAGTCA